GCCTTTTGCTACTCGTAGGGTGCAACGTGACTGGCTCATACAGAGCACTAGGGAATTCCAAAAAATGCCTTATCCTGGCCACTCAGAAATTGGGGTGAAATAGTCTTCCCCCCACCTGCCTATTCCCTCCCCCTCCTCCTCTGAATAGATCGGGGGAAGCCAGCCAAGCAAAGGTGCTGGAAACTTCCCAGATGACACTAGGGATATAATAGCACACTCGATTAACCAACAAGCAAAAGCTTATAGATTCAGGCTATAGACGAGTGTTTCTCAACCAGTGGTACGAGTACCCTTTAGGGGTACTCCAGAGAAGTCTGGGGGGGGGGGGGGGGTAACATCAACACCTGAAATTTGGAGAAAACTGAATTTGTTGGAAGTTTTACAGGGCTTTATTATTTGTGTACTTTTTACACGCAAACATTTCATTGCCCGCCTGGCTACAATTAAGTTGTTTAAACAAATGTGTTGCAATGGTAGAAAAAATATTGTCTCTCTGAAAACTGTAAGTGTTGGGGGTACTTATAATTTTTTTAAAGGGGTATAAAAAAAAAAAAAAAAAAAAAAAGGTTGAGAAACACTGCTATAGACAACACGCATCCGCCCCAACCCCAGTAAAGTTTTTAGCAGGCTGGCCAGCAGCCTGGCTCAGCCCCCGCTTGTGCCTGGTCTAGGACCTACCCCTGCTGCAGTTCTGCATTTAAAGTACATTAGGAGCCAGGTGACCAGGCAACCCGGCTCAGTCCTGGCTCATGTTGGGTCCAGGACCTACCCCCACTGCAGCTCTACATTTAAAGTGTATTAGGAGCCAGGCAGGCAGACAGCCTGGTTCAGTTCCAGCTTGCGCTGGGTCCGGAAGCTCAGACCCATCCCACACTGCTGCCTCTGTATCAGAGGCAACAATGCAGGGTGCCAGGCAGCCAGTCCGTGAGGGGAGCTGGTTTTTAAATTGGTTCCCCTTGCGGACCATCACCCGCCTGGCACCCCGCGTTGCTGCCTCTGGTACAGAGGCAGCAGCGTGGAGCGGCAGGGGGCTCCTCCGGAGTTGGGCCGGAGCACACTGGCTGCCCGCCCCCCCGGACTACAGAATAGCCGAGTAACCAATCAGAATTCATGCGGTTACTTGACTATTCAATGAACCGATATTTAACACCCCTACAGCACACCTCCCGGTCCAGCCTGGCTATGGAAAGAATCCGAGCGTTCGTGGGCCACTCCTACAGTGCAAGGCACCCGTGCGTCTGCCAGCAGCCCGGCATTCGTGCACTGCCCACGGGCTCTTCCCTGCCTGTGGGGGAGGTTCCAGCCTCTTGGTGCGAGCGGCAGAGACGCAGAACTTTTCACCAGCCTGCTCCCGGGCTGGGCCCAAACCCAGCTCTCGGTGGGGAAAGGAGGGCAGCTTTCCCCACGTGCAGCCTGCCCCCAGGAGCAGCAGCACGGCGCATCCTCTGAATCCGGCAGCCCCGAGCCAGGTGAATCCCGTTCCCAACAGCCTCCGATCTCTCAGACTAGAGCGTGCATAAGGGCACATGCAGCGCCACTTGAAAGACTTCCCCATTCCTCGGGCCAGCAACACCCTGTGTCCTCCCCCGCGGGGGCCAACACGCTTGTCGTGGAAGCGGCGGGTCATGTGCCGAGGAGACGGCAGCAGGACAGACTCCTGCAGAGATGCCGGATTTGATCGCTGAGCACCAGGCGGGAACTCAACCTTTTTGCTTCAGGCAAGAATGGTCACGGACGGACTGAGGGGGCGGGGGAGGGAAGGGAGGGCCTGAGGAAGTCCTCACAGAATTTCACTGTAGCCCAGCAGTTTTAAACGAGGGGCCGTGCAACGCCAGGCGCTGGGGCTCGCTGCTGTGGGGGGATCAGGTGAGCAGCGGGGGCGCTAAGGCAGCTCTCTGCCTGCCCTGCATCGCAGACTGTGATGTGCTTCAGAAGCAGCCGGCAGCAGGCCCAGCTCCTAGGTGAGGGGCGGAAGAGCACGCAGGACTCCACGCACCGCCTCTGCCCCAAGCACTAGCTCCGCACGCCCATTGGCTGCGGGCTGTTTCTGGGGCACAGCATGGTCTGTGGTGCCAGGAGAGGTGGGAAGCTGCTTTAGCTTTCCCACTGCACCATTGACCGGGAGCCGCTTGACGTAAGCCCCTCCTGCCCCAGTCGTGCGCCCCCCCCCAAAGCCGGAGCCCCTCCTGCACCCCAAAGCTCCATCCTCAGCCCCACACCAGAGTCTGCGCTCCAGTCAAATTATGTTGGGTCAACAATTCATCTACTGGGTTAGTAGAAAAACATGTTTGAAACCCCCCCTGCTGTACCAGCCCTGGGAGCAGGGACGATACATTCACACCTAAGGTCTGGTCTCCACTTAACTGGTTCTTGGCATCGCAGGGCGGGTTAGGGCTGTGACTTTTGTGCTGGTATAAACCCGAGTGTTGCAGACACGAGACATGAGCTATGCTGGCTAGCGCGCTCTTATGCCAGCATAGCTCCGGTCTCAGGGAACAGCTGCGCCAGGAGACACCCTGGTACACTCCGTATCTACGCTAGGACAGCTATGCCAGCAAATCTTTGCTAGGGCGGGCAAGCCCCAGACATCACCTCTGGCCTGCTACCAGGCTCCCACACAAGCCACCCCCGAGCAAGCGGGGAACTTCCTAGCGAGGTGACCGATTGCCCAGTCTCTCCCGGGCATGACCCAGGCGGTCTGCACCACCGATACCCCCCACCAGGACCGCTCCCTTGTAGCACAGCCCAGTTCCCAAGCTCCACTCAAGATGCTGCCTCAGCTCAGTTTGCTGGGAGGGCCCCGCCCTCCAAGCGCCATCCCTGCTGTGGGGGTGACGTTTCAGAACGCCCCGAGCACGCAGCACGGCGGCAGCTGCCAGGTACTAGTTGCAAGAGTGCCAACACGTACTGCACCGGGGCAAGTCCTTCCCATCGCCACGTGCCCGACTCCAGCAAGAGGACGCAGGAACCTCCACCGTGCGGTTCTGAACCTGGGGCTGGAACGGAGGCAAACTCCAGCAAATGAAAACACAGCACCTGGAAAACACGGACTGAATCGCCTCGGAGTTGCCATGGACTTCAAGGGAGCAGAATTTGGTCAATGCCCTCCGCCCCAGGGATGTGTAACCGTATACATGGTTCACTGATGAGCCCATGGTTACATGCAGGCTCCCAGGATGTCGCTTGTTTCCACCCCCCGACCCCGCCCACCCTCCCCGTGCTGGTGCCCCTGATACTAAGGGTATCAACAGCATGTAAATTAGATTACCCAACAGTCAATGAAGCAGGGATTTAAATATCCCCCACTTCATTAACATAAAAATGGCCGCCGCGATGTGCCAGCTCAACTGATTGTCGGCACAGCACGCGAGTCAAGACACGGATTGGTCGGCAAGGAAAGCCTCTGCTGACTGATCCTGTAAACCTCGTTTCAGGTGGCATAAGGGATCGGTCGGCAAAGGCTTTCCTTGCCGACCGAGCCGCATCTTGACTGCTGCGTTGTGCCGACGATCAGCTGAGCTAGCACAACGCGGCACATTCGAGCCAGCTGGGAGCCCTCCGGGATGCAATCGGGCAGATGCTGCAAAACAGGGAGGGACCGTTCCAGCAGATCTCACTTGGTACCAGGACCTCGTCTCTCCCACACACGTTGAGTGCGAGCAACGAGCGGCCAGGCCCTTTGGCTCTCTCTGCACCGTCACCAGAACGCCCGGTCTGCACTCCGGCCGGGGCAGCCAGCTAGCATTCAGGAAGGACGTGTATGTCAGAGCAGCTGCTTAGCTGCAGCAAATCCCACAGCCCGGTCCTCTAGGGAGGGTCAGGCACCAGCTGGACCCGGTGAGCTTAGATCAGAGCAGCAGACAGGTCTGTCCGCCAGACGGGGAGAGATTGGACTCTTTGGGTAGCCAGGCTCCCAGGGTCAGTCCCAGGCAGCTGCAGGCACCACGTGGCTGTTTCTTCACTGCCATATCCCTTGGACATCTGCAGTCTGAGTCACTGCCCCACCTAAATCCAGGGGGCCTGGCACACGGCTCTTCCCCAGGGGCTTGAGGGCAGGGGCCCCAGAAGGGAAAAGTTGAGCACAGAACAGGGCCAGCTCAGGGCTCTCCAGTGACCCCGAACAACCAGGTCTGAGAGGGGCCGCATCTCACCTTTCTCCCTTGAGCACAGGGGAAGTCAGCCCCCCAGGGCCTTTTATCAA